CGATGCAAGCTAGCACAATTTACTTTTGTGTTGTTAAGGTGGTTGAGGGATCACTACCGAGATAATACAATCGAATTCTAAATTTGTGTTAGAAATGATTTAGGTTGAGAGTGACACGTGATGACATTAATGAATATTATAGGTTGAGTATAACATGTCGATAGGTTTAAGTTTGTGAGAAGTAGTATATATGCATGTGTTGTACCTCAAAATTTTCCCTCCCTTTTTTTCAAGACATCTCTCACAAAAAATTCCCAAATGCTCACGGATCCTCAAGAGTTGATCAGACAAGCTCACCTCCTAAGCACTGAGTCCACAACTAAGGTTTTAATTTTCTTAAGGAAAATTGGACTTCGAATTCCTCAAGTGACTTTCATGTTTCACCATAGGTCTCCAAGACCGCTCATGTCAAATTTCAAGCGTTGCATCACAAATTTACTCAGTCAATTGCTCAGATGATTGAAAATCAACTATATTGGGTAAAAAAAGTAAAATGTGGTCAACATACAGTCAAACTTAAATATTTTTGTCAACCTCAACATTTTCAAGTGATATTCACTATTTGATCAAGGGTTGATCATAATTCCTTAAGGAAAACATTCAAATCATTAAAGGGGCAAAATTGACCAAATTAGGGTTTTGAGTAAGAGTGACTGATCACTGACTTTTGACCTAGTACATGACCTAATGACTTAAAGTGTGATCTTAAGGACTAAAACAGAAAATATTGGCCTAATTACATGGTTCAAGACATTTCTAAAGGTGCAAGAGATTGATAGTTGAAGAATTGAGATCAACTGATGAAAAGTCAATTGTCACACAAAAGTCAAACTTTGACTTTTTGGTCAACATGAACTTCAAAGATCAAGAGTCATAAAAACATTCAAATTTATCAAGCTTGATCAACAAGAATAAAAAAAGTCAACAAAAAGTCAAAACTTCCAATACTTCGAAAAATTCTAAGTGTTTTGTCCTTGATAAATTCACTACTTCATGACCATTTTTCACTAAGATACAAGATAATTCAAGGAAAACTTTCAACATGAAAGTTGTAGAGTATGATGAATTATACAACTTTGTCCTTGAGGTTTTATCTCCAAAAAATGCTTGGATTAGGAGATATAAGCCCATGAAGTCATCACATTTTTATCTAACACTTAGAGAAATTTTCAACAAGTTTGGTCAGATTTTTGTCCCAACTTCTTGGCCAATTTTCACCAAGTTCCAATTTGATTTAGCCAAAGTGGTCAACATGAAAGTTTTAGACAATGTTTCAAGCTTTCCAAAATGTCCAAGAACACATTTTTATCATGTTTGAGCTAAGAGACTCGAAGAGATGAAGTTTGGCATCCATTCTTGAATTACAAATCATTTCCTCATGTCATGCTACATAATCTTGATTTGTTGGGCTCTTAACCTCTAAATCTATCCATAATCAGATGATTGCACAAATTTTGAGCCATTATCCACTTGATTCAAGCTTTTTCCAAATGAGTTTTCCATGTGTGGCACAAAGTTAACATTGTCATTCATGTAAAGTTGCTTTAATCACAAAGTCAACTCTTCTTGAGCCTTTGACTTGTTTATTCTACAACTTAACCTACAAGATTAGAAGAAACATGTTTAAAGTGTTCAATCACTCTAGAGGGAATGGTACAAGAATTGGAACCATGTTCTTCAATGTTGCTTCAAAATTAAGTAACCTAGCCATAACCTTGTAACTTGTAAATCAAGCCCTCTCATTCTCTAAACCTTTTTCTCTATAAATAGAGATGTCATTTGCAAGATAATACACGAGTTCACAAGCCTTCTAACCCTCTCAAACTCTCTAAAATCAGAATTGGCATCCTAAACCACATTTGTTGCAATTTCTGACTTTTAACTTCAAATACCTAATCCACTCGTGCATTTTCATTTTAAATCCATCACAATCTATAACTCATATAGAAGATATTCAAACACTTGTTATACCACTGTAACATCATCTTCATCATCCTCTATTTTCCAAAATAGAGCTTTGCAACTTGACTTGTTCAGAAAGATTCAGACACTCTCAATCCAAAGTAAGCATTGCAATAGCTCTCTGGAAGTTCAGTGAAGCTATAAAGATCATCAAAACATCTCCAAGATTCTCACTTTTGACGTAAGTTTTCTAATCTTTGAACTTTCTGTGCAAGCATCATTAATGTTTACTTTCTAAATAAAAAATATAGACATCATTACCCTGAAGCTAACCATGTGCTTACATTTTATTTATCTTGCCTGAGTGATGAGAATTTTGGAAAAAAAAATTTAGATTTTAGGGTTCAGTTTGATACCAAGTAAAATTCTCACACATCTTTGATTTATAGCTCTGGAAATTTATATGGTTGAATTCGTGGTTAAATTTCTAGCAAGTTTCATGTTTACATATTTCCATTTGGTTGAGAAATGAGCATTTTCAGAAATTCAAAAATGTTGTTAAGGCATTTGGCGCGAGGAAGAAGATGAAGTCATATTCAGAAATGAGTTTATAATATATTAAGTAGTTGTTCTTTTAACTACCAGATGTATCACAACCCCAGTGGTTAAGCGCGCGTCTGTTACCTTTGGAACCTGGGCTCGAGTCCCAATGGTACCGTTTTACCTTTTTGTGTTTTTTTTTCTGTTTTCCAAACGCCCCAATGTGGGCCTCCTAACCTTGGGCTCCATATTTCTTCAGCGCACCTCCCCCAAATTTCTCACAACCAGACCCATTTTCATTTTGTTTTGTTTTATTTCAGATTCAAACAAAAACGTATTTTGGGCCCAACAAAATGGTTTTCTCACATCCCCTTTTTACTTCTTACTCATGGCCCAATCTTTTTCTTTAATTCTCTTTATATTTTCTTTTTTCTATTTTTATTTATTTATTTTATTTAATAAAATACATTAAATTATAAAAATTATAAAAATTAGGTTTAGGTTTTAATCAATTATTTTTCTTTGAAAAATGATTGGAATTAGGTTTTATTATTTATTTTATATTACAAAATAATTTTCTAAATAAAACTTCAAAAATATTTTCTAACAATTAATGTCTCTTTTAAATTAATTTAAATTTAGGTTTTTCTATATTTAAATTATTTTTCCTTTTGATTAATGAAATTAATTTTTATTTTAATTTAATTTATTTAGGTTTACTAATTTCTTTTAAATACAAAGTCAATCAATTAGGTTAAAACATTAATAAACCTTTTTCTCTACCAAAAACACTTACTCTTTCTTTCCTCTACTTTACATTTTTGCGCATTTTATCATTTCGTATTATTATCTATGTAAATGGTCTGTAATAGATAATTAGGGTTTTATTGCTTTCCATCCCCATTTGTAAATTTTTACCCCCATTCCCAAAGCGTTGTAATAGCGTAGTACATTTAAATTCCACAATTTATCATTTTCCTTATTACTGTTAGTAATTAGGGTTTGTATGACAAGATTAAAATCAATCATAGCAAAACCCTAATCCAAGACAAATTAAATAAAATTAACACATTTTGCACACATACACCTGAAGGGTAAACCTCACTTGTTGCCTCGAATATAAAAAGTCATGTCCCTCGAATGTGAGACACTTTAACAAAAGACCCTCGATTAAAATATCGTATTCTCTCGATGACCCTTCGATGTTACCTTCGGTAAACGATCTTAGTCCCTTACGAGAAATGTTAAAGTATCTTACAAGTTGTCTTCTATGACTGTGCGATGACCCATGCATGTCTCTCACATCCAATGATAGGACTTCTTACCAACTAATGGTAGAAAAGCATTAACTAAAGGAGGAGGAAAAGAAAAAAGACTTTTTGAGTAGGTAGATCGCTTGTAATCGCTTGCTCACAAACAAACAATTTCCACACTTCACACTTTCAAGATAACTCTCTTCAAAACACTATTCAAAACAAACATTTTGTATACATTCTCAACGATACGAAAATCATTACAAGATGGTCTTACATTGACATTTTCAAAATATCTTTCCAAACAGTCTCTTTCAACAAATATTTTCAAAACAAACATTTTATATACATTTTCAACGATACGAGAATCATTACAAAATTTCCGCACTTATGCATTTTCAAAATATTTGCAAACATACACAAAACACAAGGTATTTTCAAAGTGAGTTAGCAATTAAAATCCCGTAGATAACTACAGATGAAAAAGGGTGCTAACATCTTCCCTTTTCATAACCTACCCCCGAACTCAAGAAAATTCTCAAAAGGTCTTTCATGTTCTTTTCACTCTTTCCTTTATTGGATAAAAGAAAAGTTTGTGGCGACTCTTGCTATCCGCAACATTTGCGATAAAACGTAAAACCTCAAGTCAGTTCTCCCACTGTATTACAACATACTTGATAAGTTATTCTTTTTTCCTTTTTATACATTTATTTTCTGTTAATAGTTTTACTTTTAACCCATTTATCCCAAAATTAATTAACGATAGAATTGTCGAACGGCGAATCAATAATCAATCTCTATTGACACGATAAGATATAACTTAAATATCATCCGGTAAAAATAATACTTTATTTTTTACTTGCCGCTATATACCACAACAACACTTAATCCATTCTACTGGCAGGATCCTTTTGGATCGCATTTGTAATTAACTGATTTTTTGGTTAATTAAAGTACTTTAATTCCAAAAATTACAATTCTTACTCAAATATATATAAGAATGACATCCATGAAAAGATAATATATTGAAAAATATGTATGAAAAGAATTTCTTGCAAATATTTTTGTAATAGGTAAATTTATTTAAACAACGATGATATTTTATATATTATTACACATGATAACACGTTCATCACTTTAGCTCTAAATCAAACTCATCACCGGATATATACATAGTGATCATTTATTTTACACATATATTACATAACCAAAAGGATACCTATATGTACCTCCTTGGTTCAACCCACAACATTATTTATTCATGAAATTTTATTAAACTTAAAACGTCCATGCATGATGATATAATTAGTTACCATTGTCGGAAACACCACCACTGAAACCACCTCCACCGCCATAACCGTAGCCTCCTCCACCACCATTGTAACCACCATAACCACCACGGTATCCACCGTAGCCACCATTGTAACCACCATAGCCACCACGGTAACCACCATAGCCACCATTGTAACCACCGTAGCCTCCACGGTAACCACCATAGCCTCCACCATAGCCTCCGTAACCACCGTAACCTCCACCATAATATTTAGCATCGTTTACTTCATTTGACTTTTCAACAACCTCTGCAAATACATCATCATTTCAATTTTATTCTTAAACAAATTTAATACTATGAGTATAAATAATAAAATTAAGAAAGAAAAAAAATCTCCAGCATTATAAAATATCTTTGAATTACTCGCAAAAAATATCCCTTACTAGTTTTAATAAATTTTAATAAAATAAATGTATACTAACTTACTCTCTTTGGTACTAGTGGAAGTATCAGTTAAGTCCCTAGCAGACACCTCCGATGAAATAAGAAGAACCATGGCCAATAGGCCAAGGATGATGATTGCTTTTTTGGAATCCATTGTACTCAACTAAATATCAATTGAAATGTGATACTTGGTTGTGAAGGATGAAAAAAATTGTAAGAAAGTATTCCCTATATATAATGGAAGGAAGGATGAATTATTACGGAATCATTACTTGGTAGTTGGGAATGTGTTAACCAATATTAATTCAATCTTATCCTTAAAATGTGTTCGTTGATTTTGATTGATTTTGAGTAGTGAAGATTGGAAGCTATGAAATGAAGCAGTGCAGTTATTGTGTGTGCTAAGTCTACTCTCTATATGATGAAATTGATACTTTAGAAATCAGAGTACTTTGTCAACCCTAGTTATCTCAAATGTCTATTTATTTAGGTCTTTATATCCTCGAATGTCAACCTTATTTGTCATTTTATTTCTCAAATATATTTTCATTTGTTAAATTACTTGGTATACTAAAATTAGAAAGAAAATTAACACTTAAAGACATTTTTCTATTTTAATATGTTAAAAAACTATATGGATTATGACTTTATTATAATAAAATTCACTAAAAACTAAAACATAACAAAACCGAATCCAACTGATCCATATTAAAAGTTCAAAAGATTAAACTGACCTGTTTCAAACATCTTCTGAACCAATTTTGAATTTCGAACTGACTAAATATTTAAGAATACAAGAAATTAGAGTCAACTGATATAAGGAATGTCAAAGAAAAATACACAAACAAAAAAAAAGCAGCAACTCTCGTACAAGGCACGAATACTATATGAAGCACCGTTTAAAAGAAACCCAACTACAACTCCAACAGCCAGACCCGCCATCAACAGGCATGAAGAAACACTAGCACCACCAAAACCATTGAACCCTCTAAAACAGGTTAGAAATCTTGATTCGTTATTAGTAATTAAGACATAAGATAGAATTTTGAAGACAATCCAAGAAGGAGTTTAAAATTAACCTGATAAGAAAATAGTTTCAAGCAAAAAAATCTTTTATTTTTCATCTCTTTTACGTTTGTTGATATATAAAATAACTTATCATTACGCATTAATTAGATAATTCACATCACTTCATGTCAAATAATGACAAAATCTCCCATAGACTTATAAGCCCTCCCACCTTAAGAAAGAAAACATTCAAAAAAGAAACCCCAGCTTCCAAGGAAGAGGCAACCGAACTCCTAATCAAAGTTAGAAGTTAGGTTATAAATAACAAATAAATGAGAGACGGATTCAGATCAATTTTCACATAAGATACAAGAAATGACCTCCCAATCAACAATTACCTTCTGCTTGAACGATTTTTCGTTAATCAGGAATTTGTCTTGAAGAAACTGACAAGACAAGATCACCACCTTAGAGATTTCAATACTTCATTTTCGATTTGATTTGATTTGCAATTTTTTATTAGATCAGTTCGATTTTGAATACTCTTAATTTTAACGTCAAACAAAAAAAAAAGAGGAAACCTAAATAAATAAATAAATAATTTAGTAAATGATATAATTAAGCATTAGCATCTATGGAGCCAATGCTACCATTTAATAAATAATTATTATTTAAAAATTCATCCAATAAACGTTAACTGGCGGCTTGACTATGTCTAGTAAATCAAATTTTAAAAAATAATTAATATGTGACAACATGTAGCGTCGGTCTGGGCAATGATAAAGAATGAAACCAACTAATATTTAAAAAATAGATGGCGTAGCTTGGGTTAGCGGCGGTTAAGCCGACGCTACTATAGATGCTTAGTATCGGTTTTGGTGGCCGGCGCTAAATTTGAGTATAGTTACTTTTCAATTTTCTACTAATGATATATGGAATATTTTTAGGGTATTCTAAACATAAGGAATCACATATTTTATTAGTTTAGATGTACGTTGATAATATAATTTTTCGATCTACTAACGAAGATATTTGTACAGAATTTTCTAATATCGTGCAAAGAGAATCTAATATGTCTCTCATAGAAGAACTCAACTACTTCTTAGATTTATAAGTTAAACGAATGCAGAATTTTCATTTGTCAAACAAAGTATTGCTTATGTATTCTCATGACATGAAAAATTCAAAGACAATATCTAATCTTATGGCATCAAACGTAATGATTGATAAAGATGAAAATATAGTTGAAATGAAGATACAAAATATCGAGGTATAATATGACTTCTTTATTTAACAGCAAATAGACTTACTATTATGATTTGTGTGTGTTTGTGCATTCGATTTCAAGTGTCACCTAAGGAATACCACTTTAAGATCGTAAAAAGAACTTTGAGGTATTTTAACAGAACCTCCCATATTTTGTTTCCAAAAGGTAACGAGTGTGTATTAGTAGGTACCTCTCACATATTTGGAAATTGTTTAGTTTTCTGGAACAATGAGAAACAACATATTGTTGATCTTTTACCGTTGAAGTTGAATATTTAGCATTGATAATTGTTGTGCACAAGTCTCATGGCTAAAGCTATATATACTAGATTAAGCATATTAATACTAGCTCTATATGCCTAACTAATAATATAGTTTTAAATTCATGCACCAAACATATTAACATTATAAACCACTTTATTAAGGATCATGTTGAAAAGGTTAAATAGAAGAACCCCTTCTTTTTACTAGAATTTGTCACAAACAATCACAACAACCACAATCTTGCAAGTTTCCTAAAAATATTTACCAAACCTTCAAGAATGGTTAGTTTCAAGACATGTCTCCCTCAAAAATTATATATATCCATGATCAATATCTGAAATCAAAACTAGAGTTTGAAGATGAAAGAAATTATATTTGCAAGAGATTATGAGTTTTAAAAATGTGAGGTTGTGGATTTCACAAAATTACAATGTTGATTATGAAATTGCTTAATCCATTATAAAGAATAAGATGGAAAAATGAATTTATATGTGCTGAAGATTATGCACAGAAATAGGTGAAAATGGGTTGTTAAATCCGAGTCAAGAGAACTTGTGATTTGAGTCAAATGAGCAAGTAGAATGAAAAAAGATCAACATAAATAAAAGTGACTCATTTCTTGTGATTCGAGTCATGTTGTATCAGTGATTTGAGTCATGAAGACTTCATGATTCGAGTCACGTACAAAGCTTTAATTGAGTCAAATTAGTCGGACCCAAAAAAAAAGTGAAACTGCTTGTGATTTAAGTCATGTAGGATGTGTGATTCGAGTTAAATAAAGCAGTGGTTAACATGAGATATATGAATCATGTCATGTACAACTTGTTATTTGAGTCACAGAGTTGCATGATTTGAATCATGTGTAAGTTGTGATTTAAGTCACAGACACTAGAATTGATTGTGTTCTCCTCAGTTTGATTTGATTCGAGTCATAAATTGTGAGTGACTCGAGTCATGCACAATAAATCTTAATTTTTCAAGTTTTTCAAAATATTTTTAGATTTCACTTCCCACGCAATTTGAACCAACATCAAATATTTTTCTTGTTCCATTAACTCAAGCAATTGACTGAAAACATAATGTTCATACTAAAATAGCAACATTTTAATCTATGAATTCTAAAACAAATGATGTGCAATTATGAAGGATACAAGAAACAAAACTGTATTTGGGTTCTCCCCCTGAATATATTTGAGAAAACTTCAGCCTCCCCCTTTTTGATGCTTGGGAAGCTTTCACTTGGAATTGAGTCAAATTTGAGTCACATCAAATAAACTCTTATGTCCCCCCTGAAACATTGCACATACACATAACAAGATAAAACGCATAAAATAAGTTTATACATTTACATTAAAACTCCCCCCCCCCCCCCCCCCCCTTGACAAGATAAAAGAGAGATAGATGTCAATGAGTCTAAAACACATAAAAACCAACAGTGAACACATGATCTAAAAAGCTAAGAAGAATATACAAAAACAATGATTGGATAAAGAACACGAAGATAGGCATTCTATATGCAAAAAAAAAATGCAAATACACATGCAAAAACTCATCAACACAAAATTAAGTGATGAAAATTATCATGAATGAGAGGTTAAATAATGCGTGAACAAGTATATGAATGCTCAAATGCACATAATCAACAACATGTATTTAAAAAGACTTTAAATGCAAAGATGAAAAATCATAAACATGCTAGTGATGAATGAGTAAAATAAATAATGTAATAAGAAACCCAATGAACATATATATAACAAACATACACACAATGATATAATTGATACGAGAGTTATATAGATATACCAATGGAATTGATGGAACTATGATTTTCTACAAGAAATTGTTATGAAAAAGAAAAATACAAATGGAAAACAAAACTAAAATAGAAATCTCGATCTATTTTATGACATTAGGAATCCAGAATTTCCAATTCCCTAGAAATCTTGTGAAAAGGTTCCGATGATAATGGTTTTGTAAAAATATCGAGAACCTAGTTTTTCGTATTAACGTATTCAAAAACAAAATTCCATTTTTCAGCATGATCTCTAAGAAAATGGTATCAAATTTCTATATATTTAGTTCGTGAGTGAAGTACCAGATTCTTGTAGAGGCTTATTGTACTAGTGTTATCACACTTAATCGGAAAAGCAACCAAGTTTTAAATCTTAATGTCTAGTAATTGTTGCTTTATCCATAAGACTTGTGCACAATAACTACCAACGAATATGTAATAAGCCTCGATCGTAGATAGAACGACATTATATAACTTCTTATTGTGCCAAAAAACTAAACAGTTTCCAAATAAGTGACATGTACCACTAGTAATTTTCCTATCTGACTTGCACCCAACAAACTCAAAATCATAATAGCCTCCTAAACTATAAGTGTTCCCTTTAGGAAACCAAATAATGTGTTGCGAGGTTCCATTAAGATACCTCTAAATGATTTTAAGGGTCTTAAAATGGGATTCCTTAGGTAACGCCTGATAGTTGGCACACATACACTCACTAAAATAGTATCTAGCCTACTTGTCGTTAAATAGAGTAGGGATCCTATAATATCTCTATATTTTATGATCTTTATTTTCGCTCTATCATTGCCTTTGTCAATCAACAT